TCTAACTTGCAACCATTAATTTTTTACTAAGAACATATTGCGTCTTATTATTTTTGAATTTTCAAGATATGATCTTGATATGGTTAAAAATGTAATAGTGGAACTTTAAGGGGGCATTTGGTTGGAACCAATTGAGATTCTCCTAAGTATCTTTACCAAGATATAGAGTAATACGGACTAAAATTATTTTTAATTTAATTTATTTGAGTTTTAATATAAAAATAAATACAAAATCTTTTATGTTTAAAAATTAAATAGTTTTTTAAATCTATGAATAGATGAACAATAACTTTTTTGGGGGGCCAATGGAGTATTATATACTGTAGTCTAGTTCACAAAAATGTACTCGCTCCATTTCACAAAAAAGGTCCACAGCGAACTTCACAATTATAAAAAGTTTCTTCGAAACTGAAAAATGAATTATTTTAAGGCAAACGAAAATAATTTAAAACCTTTTTATTGGACGGATGGAGTATTTCTGAAGATGAGTTTTGAATTCATTTTTAATTCATTGTTGCTGACATGCCAGCTAAAACAGGTACCATAGAAATTATTGCCAAAAAAGATGTTGGTATGTGACACCCATCCTGTATAGACAGTCTTATTATTATTGATTGAGGAAGCTACAAAACAAAGATGTAGTACTATTCAACATTCCAATCAGGATCATAATTAACAATTATAATCCTAATGATGACCAAAAGAAGAACAAACAAGACATACCAGCTATGACAGGTACCCAAAGAGATGTCAACAACCAGAAAAAAAAATGAAGAAGAAAGAAGCGAAGGGGTCGTCCGTTATTTCATAGAATATGGCGCTGCCGGATCTATGCTGAGGCGGTCTTCTTTTGCTGGAAAATGACAGCCCAAACGGGAACGCCGACACCAATGCTAAAGGCAGTAAGCACGCCGAGACTCATCTTCAGCTTTTGATGCTTCATCCTATCCAAGTTGTACATGTGCTTCGCATGAATGTAGAATGGCTCGTCATGGCCATGGGCATGCCCTCCTCCCATGTTCTTCACACTTGTTGAGTGGATTCTTCTGTTCGCTGCAAGAAATCAATAGTTTCTATAAGCTCTGATCGGTAGAGGTTAAGCATAGCAATGGCGTGTGAAAATTCGTACTAGGTGTTTTGTTTATCTGAACCGGTTTGTTGACTAACATTACTTACAATATTAGCCACTGTTTGGATCATCACATCCATTTTGATTTAGGAAACATCTTAGATCATTAAGGGTTCATTTGAGAATAGCATTTTCGATTAGCGTTAGCATTTTGGACAAAACGTTAAAGGTGCAGATTAATTTTGAAAACGCTAATGCTAAACGCTGCCCGTTGATAGACTTTTCAAAACGCTAACGCTAAACTCTAACGCTATTCCCAAACAGGCCCTAACTGTATGTTCTACAAACATACAAAGTAATATAAAAGGTGCAGTCACTGATCCTCCCAAAATTAAAAAAAGTAAGTTGAGACATAACTAAACCTTGTTGAATGCACTAACACTGCAAGGATGACCAATGGGCCATCATATTCCAAAGGTTTTCAAAAAATGAACACTGCATCAGTCAAAAGTATTTCATTATATCCTTTCAATTACAATTTACAAGGTCACCAATGCACTATAGGTGGATCTGGGTGCTTGGTTTATAGAGCATATAAACGAATCACTACCTTTTGCATGTCGTCTGAAGTATAAAAAGTGGTTCATTTTTCTTAAGGATATTTGATGTCAGTGCATTCACAAATGTCTTGCTTAACTAATATAAAAACAGTTCTACAATAACTAAGTAGCTAATTTGGCGGCCAGAAATTACTCAGCAGGGATTGGATTGCTAAGAATTGACTGATTAGTGATTGTGTACAATATAAAAGCATGTTGGAAGCTACAATCATTCACCTGATTCATGGGATTACTCAAAGTTCATAAAACCAGGAATTCCCTGATTTCATGTTTTCCAAATGCAAATATGGGTATCACATCCTATACATAAGAGCAAGGGATTTCACAAGAATCACACACCAATAATGGATGGAATTTTTTCCCCATAGAGTTTTTCCTCTAAATTTGAGAAGTATTTTCAACCGATCAATAAAATGATAAACGTAGGCCCTATATAGGACACAAATTTCACCTCAACTATGTAAATCGAAGTTTGGACCCAATTTATTCATCAACGATATAAATTACCCTTCTTATATAGAGAAAATTATTCATCAAGCCAAATTTGGGTTGAAATTGCACAGTTAAAGATGAACATGAGCCCAAAACAGTGTCAAAGACCAAATTGAGTGGTGATCTATAGCCAAGGAGCTAAATCAGGCATTTACATCATTACAATGAGGCCTTGCCGTTAGACTACTAGAGATATCCCTTGCAATATAGCATGCAAAAAAAACTATAGAAGGAAAATGGAGATGGAGGGAGGGTGTGGGGGTGTGGACATAAGTTGAACGAAGACGGGAACAAGGTTGGGAATAGGAAAAGACCAACTTCTTCAAATTCTACAAAGGATTTAGGTGACGGGACATCTCTAAGCATCCAAACGGGGATGTTTCGAGGACAGAAAGCGGCACTTATTTGAATGTGGCCATAGTAGTACCGTGGACACATATTTACTGAGATAAGAAAAAAAGTACTTGTAACAGGCGTTGGCAACCATTAACTTCATAGGATGCAATGTCAAATAGTGGAAGTAAGTTTCAGACCCCAACTAGAGACATAAGCATCACAAAGACGGAACAGTATCAAGTAAAAGCTTTTCAATCAACTGAACAAAGGCCCACAACTCACAATTGACGTTTCTGCTGTTAAACAAGTCCAAAACAAGTTTTTGATGATGATACATGCTTAACAGCGCAACACGGCCAGAAGATACATACGGAGCCATACACATTTAGCATAACACGAAAGATGAAAAATCAACATATTAAACATTAGGGTTTCAACATAATAAGCTAAAAACATATCACATTTTTTGCCAATCAAGAGTATATATGAAAAAAGTGCAACCTAACCTAAAGAAGATTCCACTACTCTCTCCACTCTAATCCAAAACCAGTAAGTGATTAAGCTGATAGTAATTCAACCTGAATCAGCCCATTTTGCACGGATTCTTCATTACCAGTCCCCGAAACATCCCTGTTTGAATACTGGGGACGTCCGGACGACCAAATCCTATATAAAATTTGGAAAAGTAGGTGTTTACATGTTTTCGACCCCATCTACGTGCAACTTATATTGATATTGCGCACACATTCCCTATTATTTCCATTTTGTTAAGCAGCAAACCACAGCACAAATTCACAAAGGGCATTTTATTCTTTCCTATCAACTGCAATTCCGGAAATGGGATTTCGCAATTACGATTGAATCTAAATATCAGCTCACTAATAGATTCAACTTCTAATACTCCGTATCACAGAAACACAGCGTAACAAATCAGCACCAAATCCCCACACCGACAGATAAAGCGCGATTAAACATTCAATAACAAATCCATCAACGAAAAGGTGAGAAGTAATCCGAAGGAGGAAGAAAAGACATACCAGTCTTGGAGAGAAATGAATCGGCAGACGCAAGGAGCTTGGAGGCAGAGGTTCTTAATCCGTGGTTCATAGCCATCGTCGACCTTCTTCCCCGGAGGAAATCAATTGCTCGGAGCAGATCTCGATCGGTCAGGTCAGCGGGAAGGGAACTTTTCCGGCGTCTAATGGCTCTCCGTCCAAATCGTACGCATTATAATACTTGGGGAAATGGGCTCCGAGCCTCGAGTTCGTATTTTTAAATGGGCCAGTCCTTCAAAACATTTTACTACCTTGTATTCCATTTTCTATATCTTTTGATATAACTCCAAAAAAAACAAATCCCCTCATCTAGTTAATAGAAATAAGCAAAAAATTAATGTTTCTATAAACAATTTTAAAAAATATACTCCATAAAACATTGTGTAAAAAAGATACAAAAAATTTGTAAACTTTAGGTCTACCATAAACATTCAAGAAAAAAATGTACCTCACAATACACAATACTATTCTTTTAAGACAAATTGTAACTATATATTTTCTCACATTATAATATTATTCCTGTTTTTAATAAAGTCAAGTTCAATGTGACTAAGAGACAAAGGAGGAGTCGTTTTCGTAACTTAAAATTTAAGAAAACTATTGAAAAGATATCGAAAATATATTAAATACGCAATAGTAAAAAGTGAGTGATTATAAAATATTTGAATAGAGAAAAAAAATATTATAGACTATTTGAAAAATAATCTTTTCAAAACAAAGAAAACACATAATGAAAAAAAACTACTCCATATTTTAATACGAATGAAAAGAAAGTTGGTAAACTTATGTGAGACAGGAGAGTGTGTAATAATAACGAAAACAATAAAATGAGGTGTTAACTTATTTTAAGACAAACCAAAATATCAACGATAGATATTTCCCATACTGATATCTATTAAATTCGAAAGGTATTGAAACACTTCATTTGAAAATTTTATGATATTTGAGAATATTAAAACTAATGACTCAATGAATGCTATTTTCCCAGCCAACCAATGCCAAACATCCTACATATCACTAATTAAATCATGATTTTAAATCTCTCCAAACAACTTTGTTTCAAGCTTTAAAACTAATATCATTTCTCTCACGTTTCAAAATCCATATCTTATCATACTTCCAAAACTCGCCAAACAAGGCCTAAATAATTTCTCAAAAACAAAAGAAATGTTGAGTTATACTCTTAGAATAAATTTTTTCAACAAGTAGTTTAAAAAATAACGGCCACAATTTGGCAAGGAATCTCAAAATAATCCCCTTTTTAGAACTAATAATATACTACAACTCCATAATATGCTTTGCATTATCACAACTTTGTGAGTGTCATCCAAAATGGGCAAAAGAGTCTAAACCCTGCAAAGCAAAGGACCCCAAAAAAGAAAAAAAAAAGGAAAAGAGAGGAAAAAAAGAGCTAATGCACACTTCTAACACAAACGAAGCATCAGCACCATCCAAACTAAAAACATAAGAGGTTAAGGAATTTGATTTTGAGTGCTAACTTTTTTTACATGTAGGCTGGTGGCACACAGCCCTCTTGCCGCCCCGTTGATTTCCGCTAGCTAGCGGAGGGACAAAGACGGCGCCACGGTTTGCTTGAAATCCAAAGATTTGAGGGGCGTGCCCGGGAACTTACCCCCGGGGATCCACAAGTCCCCTTTGTGAGGTAGTATCACTTGTGGTTGATTGGGCATTGTAGGGGCCTCCCCACACCCGGGTGTCGTAGCATCGGTCACCTCTTTCTTTTTCTTCACAAATTGGAAGAACTCGGCTACTTGGCGCGCGTACCTATGCACAACGCATCATGAAAACCGGTTAACGATCAACCCAAGTTCTAACATTCTATAAAATGCAAAGACCAACGACAAACCCAGTAGAAACCCACAAAATTAGGGTCTGGAAAGGATGTGTATACACTAGGGGTGAGCAAGTACCGAACCGATACCGAAATTTCCCAAAAAACCCGAGAATACCAAACCGAAAAAGTATCGAGAAGGAACCGAACCGTACCGAACCGAATGGTCGGTACGGTATTCGGGAACGGTACGAGGTGACGTCCCATACCGAAAATCCCGTACCGAACATATATACTAAAATATTACTCGTATAAAAAATAATACCCCGGAGTAATATTTTTATATATTCCTTCACTAAATTAAAATTTTTTTAAAAAAAAATTGGTTCAAGTTTTATTATGTGTAAATTATACTTTTATTTGAGTTTTAATTATTGTGTATGGGCATAAAAGTATTCACAAAGATTCAAAATACTCCTTTGTTGTCATTCATTTTTAGTTTGTGAAATATAAACTAAGTTTTTTATATGCATCTCTTGCATTTAAATATTCATTTTTTTAAATTTTTCATGTTTTTTATTTAAATTCACTTTTAATTTTCAAAAATAAAAGGGTATTGTTAAATTTTAATGTGTAAAGTATGTATGTATCTTCATCCCGATTTGTACCGAAACCGACACCGAACCATCCTGAACCATACCGAACCGATATTTCGGGATCGGGATCAGTATGGAGTAAAATCCCATACCGAACCGAAATATTTGGTACGGTATCGGTACGAGCTAAATACCGTACCATACCGTACCATGCTCACCCTTAGTATACACTGGTCTTACTCCTACTTCGAAGTAGAGAGATTGTTTTCAAGAGACCCTCAGTTCAAAAACAAACTCAGACAAAGTAAACACAATGGCCCAAAGAAAGCAACAGCAAAATAGGCACACATAGACAAGATTTTATGGAATGCATTGTTGGTAAAATGGATGTTCCTAAACGCAGAAAAGCATGGAAGGGTAAAATGCATTCTACCAATGTTCCTACGAAAGGGTAACTGAGACAATTCACAACATTTTCGACCACTTCAAGCATGGAAGGGTAAAATGCATTCTACGGATGTTCTAACAAATTATCAATGAAAATTTATAATGAAATAAGATATAATTTGACCCTATCAACAGTAACTTAGAAGGTGATTTTAGAACAAAGGGAGTAGTAACTAGTAACTATTGCACAACTTTGTAAAAAATTTAAAATATTTTATGGGAAATCACATTGAGATAAAAAAAGTGTTTGGTGAAACGGAACCTTCCAAACGAGGCTATTATTAATATTAACAATACACGAAGAACGAAAAAAGAGAGAAAATGAGGAGCAAGATACATACTGTTTCTTTGCTTCAATATCTTTGGAGTAATCGATGTTGGGTTCACAATCAAGAATCAAAGCAGGAACCTGTTCACAATTAATCAAGAATGTAATGATAATACGTTTATATCATAACTCAATGCACTTTTTTTCCATATTTCAGTCAAAGTGTATAATGTTTGACAAAGAAAAGTCAAACGATGAGAAAGATATTCAAGAAAAACAACAATAACAATGAACCCCGTAAAATCGCGTAAAAGTAAACACGGACAGAGAAAAAGTACCTTTTGAATGCTCGGATGCATATGATTTCCCTCCAAATAAAACACCCTATCGCTGATATCGGGAGACAAGGAGTTGTCTATGCTTTGTGTGGGTTTGATAACGGACAACACCCCATGATTCCCACTCTCGAAAGGGAAAAGCCAATTCTCGTGTTTTTCATGCAAGCCTTGTAAATATTCGAGTGAGACCCCACCCTCCTCAGACCTCTTGCGCAGCATCATTCTCTTGTGGCAAGTGTCTGGGCTTGCCCGCAGATAGATGAACCCGTCGGGTATAAGTCCGGGCAAACTTGAAAGCACCGGATCAAACCATGAGTCGTAAATGCTTATCTCCATCTCGTTCATCCACTTCGCTTCGTGGACAGCTCTTACAAAAACCTTCATTGAGTCAAAACAAAGTGCACTATGCAGTCAACTTTTTGAAGTTACTATAACCAGTAATTGAATAATGGTGTTGTTAAATCCACTTCTTTTTTGGCTAAATCCACCGCTTTTATACGAAATGGACATTCTTGTCCTAAAAAGATGGATTATTGCATCTAAATTTCCTCTTGTATTTAAGGGAAAAATAGTCCATTTATTATAAACAAAGGCAAACAGAACATGAGAAAGTGACATATTTAGGCTAAATTCGACAATGGACATAAGAATCATCAAGCAAACGATTCACAAAGAAAATGGCTCAATGAAAGCATTAAGAAGCGGGTTGTACCATACGATCACTAAAAACACTTCTTTCCATTAACCTCAGAGGCTTGATACCGGACGACGATTCCCTCTCTTGCATCAATCTTGTGACAAAAACATAGTTCTGGAAGGTATACGCGTATCTTTCTGGCTCGGCATAGAAGGCGTCTAATATGTTGAAATGATCGGGACCCACATTCTGCCACTTGTCAACAGGCTCCGGAACAATCTCGACAAGATCTTGCAACTCCAGCGTTTCGTTCGCTAACCTTTGCAGAAAAGTTGTTTTGCCGACACTTATGTTTCCCTCCACACAAAAAGTGATGCGTTTCTTTTGTGTCACCTTTAGAGCAGAAATAGAGTCCTCTTTTGTCTCGTCTTCGTCTACACTTTGCTTGATGAATGTTGTGATACTCTCTGCATGGTTTTTATGGACTATCCCCACGGAACTCTGTAAAAACTCTACCATCTTCTCACTTTGCTTCCCATAGAACTACACGGCTACGATATTCTCATTGGTATGGTATGAATAAAGCATCAAAACATGACAAAATCACACATATATCCACATTCTACAAGTATAAACAATCTTTCTAAACTATATAGTATACATGCACTCAACAAAGCAAAGCAATGTGTAAGAATGATGCAAAAAAACTCCAAAACAAAGCCTATATCAGTTTTAGGGCTCATTTGATTTCACTTCTTTTTTGGCTGGTTTTGGAAAATCAAGCCTAAATCAGTTTCAGGGCTCATTTGACTTCACTTCTTTTTTGGTTGGGTCTTCCCTTCACTATTTTTCTTTTTTACCTTTTCTTTTTTTATCAATTTCAAATATTTTGTCATCGTTTTCACACCATTTTCTCTTCATCCAAACAAGAATACTTTTTCTTTCATTTTCTCACCTCTTCATTTTCTTTCCTATCATTTTATTTCCTCACATTTCTTCTCCTTATCCAAACAAAGGGCAAAACATGAAACTTATACCAAAATAAAACGTCCTATATTTTTATCTGTTAAATAGGAAATGTCTTTAATTTGGCAATGTGTGTTTGCATTTCACAATGATTTTAGGCATTATGCTTAAAGTGTAATTTTGAGCATACCTTGTCTCTGTACAGCTGCTTGAGTTGAGAGACACCCTCAAAACCATTCTTCACCAGCTTCTGAAAATTTCTAGGCCCCACGCCGGGGATTGTCAGCAAATCAGGAGCTCCGGCCAACTCTCTCTCTGGGGCATCACCGCCGCCCCTCTGCCTCCTCTGCAGCCTCGCTGCCGGCCTTTCCTCCACACCACTGCCGCTCTGCTCACCTGTCTCAACACCACTTTCCGCCCCTTCAGACCCCTCTGCAACAGTTCCCACCCACGCTCTGTGGGTCCCCCTGCTATTCTCCTGCCTCAGAGCAACCCATGACCTCGGCCGCGGGCCAGTACACTCAAGAGACAAATTACCCGAACTACACAGCCCAACGCCGGCGGAGGAGACCACGGCTGGGTTCAGACGAGAGAGGTGATGGAAATAACGGAGGGTGGAGGCGGCCGGCGACGGAACTGTGGCCATGGGGTTAAGGGCTTGTTTGGGATTCTTGGAAATCGCTAGAGAAAGGGAATCATGGGAGAGATAGGAGGAAAGGAAAGAGTTGAGGGATGGGAGTGTTGCGGTGGCTATGGGTTTTCCGGCGAGTAGCTTCTGCATCACTTACGGCGCATTTTGCGGTCACTGAAAACTGGGAAATCGGAGAAGACCGGAGAGTCTTCAGTCTTGGCGGCGGAGATTATCGGCGGGGCAAATATGATTAGGGTCTACTCGCAAGGTTTTGACGAGAATCATGTTGGGAAAGAAACGAAACGGAAAAATGTTCAAAACCGATATAGAACATTCCCTTTTATTTTATTCTTTTTTTTAATAGCACTTTTATTCCTTTTATTAATTGATTTTGGACGCTAATAAATCAAACTTTGCTATTACCAAAAAGAATCAACGTTGCGATTACTTTTCTTTTTTAATACAAATAACTGGATAATAAGGTAATATCTGTTTATAAATTTTTTATCTATTGAAGCTTGTAAAGATATTGTCTACACTGAGAATCGAACACATAATCTCTCATATGGAAGGTGCATGGCAATGTAATTGGACTACATTTAATTTATTTAAAAATTATTCCAAAAAAATAATATCAATTTGATGTTTGAGAAAAAACTTGTACACTAAAAGATGCATAATAAAAATCCGTTTAAAAAAATACTCTATCCGTACGAAATTAATCTTCCAAATTATTATTACCATCTTTTGATAACATATATATTTTCATTTATCATTTAATAAAATAAAATTTTTTTTGTCAACTCTTGATTCTTGTTTTGTAAAACTTTTTTTTAAACTTTTGAACGTTTTAATTTGTACTCCATTTTTGTCCATGTTTAGTTTGGTATTTGCATTATAATTGATATATTAGTCTCTATGAGGCTGTTTGGCAGTGTGTTGCTTTTAATCATTTAGCTTCTGCTTTGAGTAGAAGTGATTTTATTCTGTTTGGCATGTCAGCTTTTGCTTTTCACCACCACTATTTTGTACATAGAACACCGTTTCGGAGAAGCAAGTAGGATGTGCTTCTGTTTTCAGCTTTTGTGGAAATCACGTTATCCATACGTTAATCACTTCCAAACACTCTCTATATCATACTCCGTATTTGTGTTCAATTGAAGTTACTAGTATATCTTATTTTGTGAAATTTTTAAATATATTTAGTAAATTTTTATTATCTCCGCCTCAAAATGAAGATTGTAATGCAACATACAGTATGAAATTAAATTTTTATTATCTCCGCCTTAAAATTAGTATGAAATTAGTAGTAAATTTTATTATCTCCGCCTTAAAATTAGTATGAAATTAAAAATATTAAATTTATATATTTAAAAACTATATTAAAAGTTTTACAAACAAAAGTTGACATAAATAAATGATTTTATCAAATTAGAAACAAAAATAGAGAAAAATAGATAAAATTTGACAATGTATATAGTGTAAGTGAACTTGATTTTAGAACGAAGAATCTACCACAAAAGTGAACTATTCAATAAAACTATACATTCTTTTCTACTTATTTATGTTATTTATTTGTAAAAATAACATTGTCGTGTTATTTTTTCTTTTAAAAAATATTTGATGTATTTTTAAAATATATAAATTTTGTTTTTAAATTTTGTATCAACTTTCAAATAAAATAAATTAACAATAATCTAGATCATTGTATATTACTTCGTATAAACTAACATTGACCATATTAGGAACGCAATGAATATTATGTTCCCCCCTCTCCCAAATTAATCTTTCTAGTTACTCCGTACTATATTATGATCTCTCGATAACTTATATGTATATGCATATTTTCATTGATCAATTAAAAAAATAAAACATTCTTATCGTATCTTGTTTTTAAAAAACATTTGTTATAATTGTGAACGGTGTAATTTATATTTTTATTTCTAGATCAATCTGTAAATAAAATATATTCATCATAAATTATTGTACTGTAATGGAGTTAATGGAGTATTAGCCAAAAAGTCCGCCATAAATTATTGTACTGTAAAAAATAATTTATTGGAAATGAAACAAACAAAGCATTTTGAAACATCAGATATTGGAATTGACAATGGTGACTCAAAATTAAAGGAAAAAAAACAAAAAAGAGCAAAAGAAATTATAAAAAAAATATTCCTCAAGGAGAACAACAACTGATACAAAGGCTTACAGAGGAAGAAACAACAATGTATAAAATGTTGTTTTGTTAAATGAGGGCGGTGACTCCAAACTGGTGCATCTCGTTAAGACGCCATAGCGGCTGAACGTCTTCTGCCTCTACGAGTTCCATTGCCCATGCATAGTACACCGTGTGGATAGCGTCCTGACAAAGAAGAAGAAGAAGAAGAAGAAACAATGGAAAGAAAACTCAGATAATCACAAAGAAAGCCGTTTTCATGACGAAGAATCAGGGAGAGTTGGTTCTTGTTTGGACGATAAGAGTTCCAAGACGTGCTTTGCGATTTGAAAATGGTGTGTTGTCACAACATCCTTTTATTTGTTTCATGAAAGCCTTGTTTGGGAACAACGTTTTAACGTTTTGAATTATTTTTTAATGGTACGAATCTCTCAAAGTGCTAAAGTTAAACGCTGTCGCTAGACAGACTTTTCAAAACAACTGTGAAGTTGTTGCCAAACGGGCATGAGATATTGAGAAGCCCGTGTGGGCACGCACCTATTTTTCAACCATGTTTCACAACAACCAAACTCGGTTTCCATGCTTTTTAGAATGGAAAATGCCGACTTTAACGTTGACACTAAGTTTGGCACCATTAGTGACGGAAACAATTATGGTCACTAGTAACGACACCACAGTTCACAATACAAAGAATTGTCAATGAGACAATCATTGTATGCGAGACGCAAGCAGTGTCAACCTTGGTGTCATTCGTTGTATGATTGTAGCATGACCCTACCATTGAGAGGTACCATAACTCATTTATCTCCTACGTTCACCAAACGGACCCTTAATATGTACTCCCATGTCTACTAGTTAATAATAATGGTTGCTTACCTTTCCTCCTTCTTCTATGGAGCCCAATCCATTGCGTACACAATAGACCTGTTGCGTTTGGAACTGCAGCAAATCCAAATGCCAATTTTAAAAATTTTAGGAAAATCCAATCAGCATTATTGGCAAGGCATTTTACTTTATACGAATGTCAAGAATAAATTGCTAAGTTGTGTTTTACCGCTAGAATGATTATGGGAGTATCCCCGATCAATCTTATTTCCCGAACTTCAACGTCAGCAATATGGAGGATCTGCAAACATATATGGGATTCAAATCAGCAAAGAAAACTTACCACATAACGGAGTAAAACATATAGAGTTTTGATAAAATCATAAAACTTCATGTTACGGTTTACTGTGCTTGGCTGAATTTATTTTCAAAGAAAATTAATTCAAGAGGTGGTTTGACTATGTTATTTTAACAAATGAATAATGAAAAAATGTAACATGATAGAAGAAGATATAGTTTGACCTTGTCAATAGTAAATGTAAAGTAATAAAAAATTATAAATCACATATACCAAATATATAGATAAATCTGCAAAATATATTTGTAATTTGTCTATTATTTTTTAAAAAGTAAAACAGAAAACAGGAAACATCCCTAAACGGGTCCTAAATTGGCATCATATCATAATTTGATTCCTTACTTTATGATCAAAAACATAACCCTGACTTTTGTAAGCATTATGCTCCGCTTCACACCGCTTGACCATCACGGGACTGCAATATTTTTGAAGTACTTCGATATCTGCCTGAAATCAGTTTGACATTTATAAGAATATGTGCATTAACAAGGGACAAAACATCATTGAAATAAAAGCCATCATTGATGTATTGACCCAAAGCTTATTAGAGAAAGAGTCTACCTTATGGAAAGCTTCAAGGACTGGCCTTATAACTTCTTGAACCTCAGAAACAAAATCTGGTAAAGAGAATGTCCTAGAAGAAAGCCACGTGAAGTTAACACATGTCATCATGCACACATGAGATTTTCTTTTTTTAAATCACTTTTGGTAATATTGCACCAATCCCACGTTTGGGTATCTACTGCCAAACAGGGTAATGTATGTGTAGACACTCTCCCCAAATCCTACTTTTTGTGGGACTTTACTAAGTTTTTTGTTGTTTCTGTTGCCATATCTGGTTTTCGGTTTTTAATTTTCCACGATTTGCGCAAAATATATTCCTTGAGACTTTTGGTCCTGACAACACATCCTGCAAACTTTTGTATGATGCCAATTTGATTTTAACCAAATAAATGACCTAAAAACCAATAGTGACAAGGTATACATAGCCATGTGCCAAAGTGAGGGGAAAACAAAAACCGATGACCAAAAGTGAACTGTCATGGGAGCGAAATTGCACATTTTCCATGGAAAAAAAGGACCAAAAACTTACGGATCTCTGCGACGTATTTCCTTAAATGACAATGCAGAAGATGATTCCCCAAAGACGGTTTCATTTATACTGCAGTGTCAAAATTGATGATCAAATCATTCATTTCATAAAACAGGTACTATTTAGCATTTAAAAGCCTACAAAAAAGAGAATCCCAACATACTCTTGGATTTTTTGTACCGCGGGATGATCACTAGTCTCCCATCTTTCCCGAATATCTTCCGCAATCTGCCAATTTCAGTGCAACTACCAATTAGTACATCGAGAGAGAGAGAGAGGCAAAAGACTGGCCTTGTTTGGGGACAGCAATTTCAATTAACGTTAGCGTTCTAGATCATTTTTAATGGTGCAGAATAACTTTTAACACACTAGATCTAAACACTGCCATTAGATAGCCTTTTTCAAAATGCTGAAGTTGTTGCCAAATAGGCACTATATTCAGGTTTAGCCCTATAAACAGCTTTACGAACATCTTCCCATTCAGTACAAAATACAGCAACCACTAACTGAGGGTCTGGGGAGGGAAGGAAACTTAGCCCTACATATAAAGGCAGATCAGTGCAAAATAAGAACACAATATTGGGAAATTCAGTAGTCCAACAAACCTCTTGACTCTTTGTAACGACAGGTTTGCTCGCTACCCGGATGTACTTGAAAACACGATGGCCTTGAATCTGAAAAGAATAACTAACATCAATCTCTGAATTTTATTAAGAATGATCGGAGAGCATTTACGATAACTTAATCTCAAGGAAAAGTACAATTAGATGAAGAAAAGTACTAATGGAAGTGTTCGGAAGGATAATAGAAGTAACTTTAACTGAGAAATAAGCACATTTAGTGCCTATTCCAGAAAGAATGAAATTGTTGCTTTTCCTAACACACAATGACACAAATTTTTACTGCTTAAGTGACAAAGCACTTAAACAATAAGTTATCCAAAAGAAGCTCTAATGCTAGGTGCTTCTTTTTATAGGAGGAAAAGTACTTCTACTTCAAAAAGATTTGTTTGGCATGAAATTGGAAAAATTGCTATCAAGAGTGAAAAACATTTTTAATGCAGATTTAAGAAACATATCAGTGCTTTTAAAAACAACTTGAGTTAGAATGATAAAAACACACACTAAGACTACAAGTGCATTTGGTTTAGATTCTAGCGGTAGAATTAGTTGATTATGATTCTCAGATTGAGTAAGAATCAACTCGTGTTGTTTTATACTCTGTTGGTGATTTTGCTGACTAGAAACAGATTTTCCAAAGCAATCACCGGCTTGATTCTCTAAAATCAAGAAAAGAATTAGGCAACTGATTTTGAGCATCAGAAACAACAAAAATAGAGCATAACCTAAATGTGCCCTATACCAATACAAGCAATTCCAAGATTTAATGCATGAAACGATTACCGTATCCTTGAATGCTTGCCATTTCCTACTCCATATGGTTTCATTTGAGGGCAAAACAGTAACATCTGTCCTTGTGCTCCGCTGAATGTTCACTTTCGGGGCGGATTCTACAGGAGCTTCAAGATGCTTCCTCTTTCTTGCAGTACCTTTTAACTCATCCAATATAACGCCATATCCTTTCTTAGCTACTTCAATTGGTTTTGCGTCCTTTAGTTTCTGGATGGATGGCGAGACCATTGCAGAAAGTGAAGACGCAGCAGACTTAACCCTTCCAAAAACTGTTTCCTCTTTGGGTTTTGAGCTAGAATTGTCAGAATTACATTTTGATGCATCAGGCTCTTGCTTCCCAAATCCAAAAGTTTCTTTGACCTACAACAAAATGAAGTAATTGTAATAAGTCACTACTCAGCAAAGAGTAACAAAACCTACATAAATATACCTCTTCCTTTGCAGCAGAAACCTTTTCCCCCATGTTAGAATATACCTACAGAAAAAAATGTATAAGAAATCCAAAGGCAACAACTATGCATAGTAGGATATTGATTGCCAATCATTAATCACAACAAACCTTTGATGCCTTAACTTGTGTAATAAAAAAAAGCCCGATACGGGATTAAGGTTGCGGTTAAAAAGGCTCCTTTTGGGGAAAAAGCACAGATTTTAATTTTGCTTTTGAGAAGTTTGGTGGAAAGAGCTTTTGAGAGTAAAGATGTGTTTGGAATTGAGCTTGAAAAGGGTTCTGTAAATTTTAAAATGTCTAATAAAGAATATTTTACAATCAAACATAATTCTTTAAATGCAAAATCCATCTTGGATTAGCGTTTCAAATAAGCTTTTGGGTCAAGACAGAATATCTTTAAAGTGTGAGGACAAAAAAGGTTTTTATCCATTGCAAATACAGTTCCTGATGAGCTCAAAAAGCACTAGGAGCTAGGTAGACCGTAGACAGCAGACAAGGCTCAAGTGTTTAATACCTTGGCAAGGCCACTAGTGTGTCAGTTGGAGCATATGTGCGAATAGGGCTCCATTTGATAGCCTTATTTGGATTATTTATTAGTAGCTTTTGCCTTATTTGGCAGAAAATTATGTTACCAAAAGCTTTTTTCTTCCACAAATTTCAGCAGAACATTACAGAAAAATAACCTTACCAAACGGATTCGAAGCATAATCAAGTAGAAGAAACATATCTAGGCAACCAAGGGCATCTAGAGAGTAGATCCTAGGCGGTTCTAGGAAAAGATTATGTATAACCGCAATTAAAACAGGCTTGAAATAGGTAATTAACTTTGTGAAGAATTATCACATTTGATATAAGCAACTAACATCCTCTCGATTTTGCTTGCAAAATAGGAAAAAATGTGCATACTTCATCAACAAAAAATACAAAAACATCAAGGACTTTAGGTAGTAGATTCTGGAGGAGAGTTAAGTTTTGTTTAACTGATTTATAGTTATTTGCTAGCCTGAGATTAGAAAATAACCATGCATATCTTCAGTTGAATCATATGTTCATATATAACTTTTCTCTTTCACTTTCTTTCCAACCTTCTAATGCATGAATTAATTAATTATAAAAATATCACATATCACCTATAAAATCTCCCAACCAAACAAGGGATAAAGCAACTTAAGGGGCTTGTCTACCTTTTTAGCAGTACACTCAGCTTCGGTCCAGACACCATCGACATGCTTGTAAAGCTTTTCAGTAGTCTGCTTTGTTCTGCCATTTCCAATTAATCACGTCATATAAGCTATTCAAGAACAAATCATTGTAGAAAGGACAGTTACACTTTAGAACACAAACTACCTTGCTTTTAGATTTTCTTTGACTCCTTTAAGTTCTTCTGCTTTATCCTTCAGTTCCTTGACGGACTGTTGAAACTCCTTGTTGCTGCAACCCATAAAATTCAGAAACAAGTTTATAAGTCTTCAGAGATGGAAACTGAGATGAAAAATTGCAAGCAGAATACTTACATAAATTTTCCAGTAATAACTACTTCTGCCCTAATAGAAAAGAGTCCTATTTGAGCTTACATTTGTCCCCAAAATAGGGTCCTATTTGAACAGAAACAAGTTTCAGCATAGGAAAAATCTTGAAGAGTGCATTTACATGATTTTTAAATAATATGTAGTATATCTTGCAAGTGTTGGCTTTCATATAACAATATTCTGGTCTTCGTGTGCATCTTAATATAATGGTAGCAATGGATTCTTTGAATTAGAAGATATGAATAAAAATGGTTGTGTATATAATATTTGTTTTAAAGATCCCCACCGAATCCCACTTAGTAGTTAGTCCCATCTACACTAACAAGGAATCCATAAAATTATTAGTCCATTTGAGTGTTAGTCTGATGTGGCTATATAACCCTTGGTATCCTTGTATCTTGAAGTAACAAATGAATGAATAGTCAATCTCTCCTCTAATATTGTCATCTCTCTTGTCTATCTCTCTCTGTTCTCTGTGTGTTCTTACAAGGTTCCTCGAAGCTCCTCTTCTTCTATTTGGTAGCTTCATCAAACTTGTAACACATTTTGGGAGTGAAAATGATCCCAAAACACTTAGCCAAAAAGGACTTTTTAATAATCGTTTTCACTTCCCAAGAGTCTTTACCTGCTAACATCGCTTTTTAATTTCTGAGAAAACTCATTGAAAACGCTGAATTGCCGATTACCCTTATAGCCATATCCTTGCAATGATCTCAAACTCGTTGCGCCTCTGCTTGAAAACACCTGCTCAATGATTTTTTGAAATGCATCAGCCTTGTTTCAATACATAAAGAATAATAAATAATGCAAATGGGAAAGTGGCATATTTAGCCCCTCATTTATTAGTTTCCCCACTTGTAGTCTTTGGACTGCCGCCAAGTTTGTGTTTTTAGTCCTTCCATAGTTCCATAGAAGAAAACGTTAATTTATAAAATAAATATTTACCTCAACCTTTTAAGGATATTAATATAATAGAATACAATTGTAACCAAGCACTAATAATATCTACGTTTCTAAAAGGATTAAAGATCAAATGCACAAAAAAAAGGGTAACCAAGCACTAATATCCCTCTGTTTGCAAAATAAAAAATAAAAAAACACTCTTTCCTTTTTGTTCATCCAAAAAAACACTTCACACTTTATCAATTTCTTTTTAAATCAGAAATGAGTCGCTCGCAACAATTTTTACAGGACAGATGGAGCATTATTGCTGTGAATTTCTAAAATAATTTTACTCTTTTGTTCCATCTATACATTTTTTTTCTACAAATCTATGATATCAATTGTTTATATAACAGAACGCGAAGTTGATTCATCACATATAGAAGTTCGAAAAAGTCCGCAGAAGAGCTGATTATAAGAATCTATACTAAAATGATAAAGAAAAAATGACGATGTAAATTTATTTTTGGAAACTCACAATCAAAAAAAAGAAAATATTGAAATGAAACCTGCTGAGGCTCTATGAGCTTATGAACAATGAGTGGTCTTTTGGAGAACAAAAAATCTCGAACTAACTTTCTGCTAGCCATTGGAGTCCTGAGAACGAGTTTAACCCTTCTGTATCCTTACGCATAATCTTGTATCCCTACCATCTTCTACCTTTGAGCTTTCAAGAAGATACTGACACAGAAAAAAACAGTTTTTTTACAAACTCTGAATCAATCCCATCTCTATTTGGAAAAAGAAATTGGCTTTTTAACTAGTGGGCATTGAGAATCAAAGAAACAAGAATCATGGTTCATAAAGAAACTTAGAAAGAATTAATCAGCCGGTAAAAGATAATAAGAACTGCAATCAAAATGAAGAAACAACGCATACCTAGATGGTGCAGTGGAGGAGGCGAAGAACTGAGGACCTAGATCGCGCTTCTGGGTTATGGCGCAGGAATTGAACCGGGTCTTCAGTTTAAACCCATAAGATTTTCTCTTCTTTTTTTCTTTTTGGGTTTAAACCCTTAAACGATTTGTGATTGTATTTGTACCTAATGATGTGGAAAATCCAAACTAGCTTGTGAAATAAGAAATCATTTGTCATCTTTTTTAAGTTTTAAGTGTTATTTCGGGAAAAAAATCAACAATTTCCGTTAATATTTTAAAAAAATTATTTGACGGGATCATTTAGTTGTTACACTTTTAAAGTAAATATACATTAATCTCTCCGTCTTAAAATAACTTTTTCAGTTTGGTTTACAAGAATTGATTAGAATTATTTTTAATTTAATTATTTGATTATAGATTCATAGGCATAAAATTAAAAAAAAAGTTATATCTTTTAAAACGACATCAAAAGTTCTACAAAACAAGAATGACATTATTATATTATTTTATCAAATAACTAACGAAAATAGATAAATAAAGAGTGGGAGTATTAAAACTTGTTATAAAACACTGACGTCAATTAAAAAATTATTCACAAACAAGACCTTTGTTGAGACTTTCAAAAATAGATATCTAGTGGAGATAAATGAAATTCAAAATTAAAATAAGAAGATAAAAATGAATGAATGAAGACACATAGTGTATCTATATTCTATCTTAACGGACTATTAGGAGATTTTAAATACATTATAAAATGAATGAAGGCACAAAAGCGTGTCTATATGCACATAAGATTTATTTGAATCTCTAGTGTATTATTCTTCATAGAATTATCTCCTTATTTCTTTTTTTTTTAACTTTTACCATTTTTTACAATTATTTACTCCTTTCATTATATTCGCAAATATGTAAATAAAAAAATCTTTAAAAACGCTTTTTATATAGTAATCAGTATTATTTTGTATATACAATAATGTACCGAGTACTATTTTATATCCATATTTTATTTCCTTATTTATAACAATTTTTTATATTTAATACTAATAAGTATTATTTTTTATATATAGTAATGTAGTATTGTATATACGTAGTATATTAGATTTTTATCGGATCATGTTACAAATCTTTTAAGACAATACCATTAATATATTAATGTTTTTAGTACTTCCGTCTCAAAATTAAAATGAAATTAAATTAAATATGTACATAAAAATGAAGACATATCTCCATAATAATTTATTTCCAAATGTGGAAACAAAAAAACAAAACTATATAATGCAAATATGGAAAAAACAAAACAATATAACAAAACCTTTGCTTCCGATTTCCCTTTTTAATTCTCACCATATTTTATTTATTTCCTACTTTCATTACTTTATTACTTTTTTTCACAAATATAGAAATATTTGTTAATTAAGTGCATCTTTTCTATATTAAATAGGGTCGTGATTTTATTACTTTATAACTTTTATTCACAAATATGCATATGAAAAAAACCAAACAATATAATGCACGGCTTGCTTCTGATTTCGTTTTTTAATCTTTACCATTTTTTACAATTATTTCCTCCTTTCATTACTCTATTAATTTTATTTGCAAATATGTAAATAAAAAAACAAAACTCTTTAAAACTCTTTACATATAATATTAATCAGTAGTATTTTATTATATACAACAATGTAGTATTTTATATCCTGATTTTTATTTCCTTAATTAA